CTTTAAGTTAAAACACTCAGCATAGCCAAAACATCATACTTTAGGTTATTGTTTCCTAATTCCTAACAAATACATAAGGCATGACTCTTTGGGAAGGAAATTACTAGTTCTGAAAGTTTAATGTGTTTCAAAATCACCCAAGGGCTTAGAAAACACCCATTTCTGAGTCCTGTCCCCATTTGGTCTGATTAATAAAATCTGGACTGGACACAGAGAATTTGCTTTTTTTTTTTTTTTTTTTTGCCGGTTGTGGGGCTTGAACTCTGGGCCTGGGCGCTGTCCCTCAGCTCTTCAGCTCAAGGCTAATGCCTTAGCACTTGAGCCACAGCGCCACTTCCAGCCTTTTTCTGCTTATGTGGTGCTGAGGAATCGAACCCAGGGCCTCATGCATGCAGGGCAAGCGCTCTACCACTGAGCCACCTTCCCAGCCCGAGAATTTGCACTTTTATCACTCTTCCAATCCAATGGTAAGAAACTAAAACTATGGTATTGGGACCATAGTTTGTATGTGGGTGTTAAGTGGTACTGAATTCCATCCATATAATAATAGTACTTTTATTTTTTTTATTTACTTTCATTTTAAGTTAATATGCAGTGGTGTGATAGTGTCTCATGCTTATAATTATAGCTACTTAAGTGGCTGATGTCTGAGGATCAAGGTTTAAAGCCAGCCAAGGCAGAAAAGTTCGTGAGATTCTTCATTTAAGTTAACCAGAAAAAAGCCGTAAGTGGAGCTGTGGCTCAAGTGGTAGAGCAATGGCCCTAAGTTGGGGGTTGGGAGGATCTCAGGGACCAAGTATAGTTTCTGGCCCTGAGTTCAAGCCCCAAGACCAGCACAAAAAATTAATATGGAATGAAAATGATATGTATTCTTTGAAATCACCTGGGTCCATGAAAATTAACTGATAATGGTAAGTATACATTCTTTCCAATGAATTTCCTTATTTTGCAAAGCATATTTAGTCGGATTTTGTAAAAGAGATTTAAAATAAAGGAATGTAGGCTTTCGGCGTTAATGACACAAAATGATACTCTAATATTAGATTTCCAATGAATATTAGTAATTTGCAAAGGTGCTTCACATGCTTCGCGCTTGCGCATGCTCCCCCACCCCCCCAAGTCAGTCATGGCACTTGAAATCAGGGCCTGGGCTCTGTCTCTGAGCTTTTTTGCTCAAGGCTAGCACTCTACCACTTTGAGCCACAGTGCCACTTCTGGTCTTCTGGTGACTAATTAGAGATTAGAGTCTCATAGACTTTCCTGCTCTGGCTGGCTTCAAACCGTGATCCTCAGATCTCAGCCTCCTGAATAGCTAGGATTACAGATGTAAGCCACTGGCACCTGGGTAAAGGTCTTTTTACTTAGAGGAGTCAAGTAAATGTGTGGGTATATTAAAATGACAGAACCTCTCTTTCAAATGGTAGCCACTTAATAATTAATTTAATCTATTTTGGAGCATAGGAATCTTTAAACTAAAAGCTGTCCTGAAACATGGAAGATGACACGTGAAGATTGTCTTGCTGGCTACTGATGACTAGCAGTAATGATGTGCAAAATGGCATCAGCCATTCTGCAGGAATGTGCTGGTCTAACTGCAGCGTCGGTCCTTACCTCTGGGATGACACTAGTCAGATATTGCCATGTCATGAGCTAGTTCAGGATTACCAGAGTGACTTTTATTATGAGCCATCCTCACGTTCCTCTTACAATATCAAAGTTAGTTGCTGAAGCCCAGGTCTTACTCCCTCTCTTACTTCTCTGTGTACTATGGATTCCATTCCGATATAAGCATACATAATTGTGATACGCAGTCTAATATCAGCATGTAGGTAGGGTTTTGTGACCTTGAAATGAATCCTGTTAAAAAATAAATGACCATTTGCTTGTATCTTGATGGCTCCCAAGTTTCTGGGTAGGCACTCACTCAGACTGACTAATCTGATATTGGAAAGAACCTGAGAGGAAGCATGCTATGTATGCCTGCACCTCTCAGCACAATGGAGAGGCCAAGGAACCCCAAAGTGCCGCATTTGCCATCTGCTGCTTTTTAAAAAGTCTCTCAGCAGGCTTTCCACTTAGGCTTTAGCTTTATCTACAGTCACAGAAAGATTAGCTGTGACTGAATAATCTCTCCAATCCAGTCAAGTGGCCTAAAGATAAGGAGAGCTAGCTGGGTTTTCTTGCCTTCCACACCCCTTTATATAACACATCTGGAGCAAGGTGTTTTTATGAGTTAGGGTGCCTATCTACATAGATTGGATACATTTATATGGGGACAACCCAAATATGGTCCAAATTCTAAGACCATTACTTTAAGTCAGTGTTGCAGAAAACTTTAAAATACATGGAAATTCCATGGGTGTACAGACATGAGGTTGCAATTTCACATGCTTACTGTCACTCGAAATGCATGCTTCCTCCACAGTCACCATCAAAACAGTCTCCTGGGTTGCCAGCATCCCATTATAATCCATTTCCTGAAAGTGTATTCAGAGTACCTTGGACCTGCTGATCATAACTGATACTTTGCCCAACTCTTGAGAGCTGATGATGTCTGACAGTTATCAAAGTGCTTTGAGACTCTCATTTAATGAACAAGTGAATTTGAGTGTGTATTTTGTCCATTTTAGGATATCTGGTGTCTCAACAAGGAGCCTAACTAACTCTTAGTCCTTCTGTCCTTCCCTACTCCTCATGATTTCTGAACCATTTCTATCACTAGAGAAGGTTGATCTAGCCAGACTTGTGCAGGGAAGGGTTTTCTTTGTTCCTTTTCCTGTTTTACTGTTATGGGAGTTCCTGTGGAATACTTTTTTCATATCAAAAATATTGACATTAGAGATAGGACTGGTGGGTCATGCCTGTAATCCAAGCACTCCGACGATATGACAGAGTCAGCAGCATCATGGGTTCTAGGACACCCTGGGCTACAAAACAAGGCTCTATCTCAAAAAATATTTCTCTACTTTCTGTGAAAGGATATCGATCTTCTTCTAACTTATGGCAAAATAAAGTGTGTTGTTTTATTTGAAATGCAACTGAAAATGTAGCTGTGCTAGGAACCTTTAAAAGGTGGTATAAGAAGTAAGTGGGGGCTGGAAAGGGGCTCAGTGGTAGAGCGCTTGCCTTGCATGCTCAAGGCCCTGGGTTTGATTCCTCAGCACCACATAAGCAAAAAAAAGGAAAAAAAAAGCCAGAAGTGGCGCTGTGGCTCAAGTGGTAGAGTGCTAGCCTTGAGCTGAAGAGCTGAGGGGCAGTGCCCAGGCCCAGAGTTCAAGCCCCACGACCAACCAAACAAGCAAAAAAAAAAAAAAAAAGTGGGAATGACACTGTTAAAAGAAACTCAGCCTATTTAACATACAGTAAAAACTTTCACTTTTATCACCAGGGGAAATGGCACTGGCAGGGAAAAGAAGAACTTTGTTGTAAAGGAAACTAGCTTTCCCTAGAGAAGATAACCAACTAGCCTGTGGATTTCATTAAATAGAGCCCATAGCTCTCAAAAGATTTATAGCCAAAGGACTTGATGTATTAAAAGAGAACTAATCAGGAAAAAAAAATAGACATGCAATTCTGTCCATTAAAGTAGCTTTCCCCACAGAATTAAGTTAATCTAATTTGACTCTAGTTTCTCAATGAACTACGCCATGACTGAACTTTCTATTTGGACTCACACTATGTCTTTGGTGTTATGTGTTGTTGGAAAGATGTGTAACTGATGCATGAGTGCTCTCTGTTCAAACTGTTTCTAATATATAATTTCCTTGTCCAGTGTTCTTTCAATAAGGTACCTAGTCTTATAAGAATGTCAGAATGATGCAAATTAAAGTGTGGACCACATGGTTATTTATTAAGAATACAGCATAATGTAACACCCTATTATACTGCAGTCCTTGTGACTCAGAAGAAAAAGCGATTTTTCCCCCCAATTGGAACATTTAGTTTAAATAAGCAATGGGCAGTAATGCGTAATCTAACAAAAATACTTCCCTATAATTATTCTTTTTTTTTTGGTGAGATTATCTTATTCAAAATTTTGATGGGAAAAACCTTCCAATCTAAGAAATCTTTCATCAGACTATCATCCCCATTCACAAAGGCTTTTTTTCTGGATAAACATTCATAAATGTGTATTTATTTAAACATAGTTTTCTCTTCCAATGTGTCTATGTAATATGACCCTAAATCATAGTGTTAGTAAAATAAAAACTTTGGAAATTTTTGGGGAGGGGGAGAAGACATATCCATTCAAAAACAATATCCGACAATACAGAGCAGGGAATTACACTGGACCCATTTGGTGGTCAAAACACATTGGAGTCTGCAGTCAGCAAGCTCTGGCTGGAAAGATCCACATGTTGACAGTGTGATGCTCCATCGAACCACTTCTAGGGAAACAGGAAACAAAGAGAAAGAAACAGGAAATTGCCCAGTCCTCTGCATGGCTCCATTTGGATTCTGACATTGAGACTGTGTTTGAACTCTCAGTCTTCAATAGCAGTCTCCAGGATGCCCACTTCCCTTGTTCCCACGCAGCTTTTCTTATAGATTACTTATGAGGGACTGTATTAATAGGACACATTACAGAAAGCCAAAACACATTTTCTGAACCAACATGGTGAGGGCTACTCACTTCTAGGGCCCAGGTTAGTCTCTGGGAGCCCACCATCTTTGATGGCAAAACCAAGGCAATCCAGGTGTAAGTTCTAAATTTTTTTTTCTTTCTCAGTTTTGCAAACAGATGCTGTTGATGTGCTAAGGTTCAGCTACATTACCCCTTAAGAGAAGCCACCGAATATTGCTTCTTTTTTTCTAAGGTCTCAGAAGTTGATTCCCATTGCTTTCCAGCATCATTCTAACCAGAACCTCACATTTAGCCATGGCAATATTTAGCTTGAACGGTACCTGTTATTGAAAGGGAGTCTGTATTTGCATTAATACAGAGAATGCTAGTTTAGAAATGAGCCTGATTGCACGGTTCATTTTGTTCTCCTTTGTAGAGCCAGGCTGCGGCCCACTACAAAGGCACGAAACATGCCAAGAAGGTCAAAGCACTGGAAGCCATGAAAAGTAAGCAGAAATCTGTAACTGCCAAGGACAGCGCAAAGACTACCTTCACCTCCATCACTACCAATACCATCACTACCAGCTCTGACAAAACAGGTTAAGCAACAATCTTTGTTATTGTCGTTGTTGTGGTTGTTGTTTTGGGGGGTTCTCCCCTTTTGTCTAATCCCATGTCTGTGGAATTATGTGCCTGCTGCATCGATTCACACTTGAAACCATCTTTCTGTGTAATAATTGCTCCTTTGCATTTTTCCAGTGTCCTTATGACAATCCCTGATTATCTTCCAGATTTTGCATTTTCAGGCAGTCCTGCAGCTGTTCAGAGGGACAGAATAATCATAAGTTCCCTGAAAGCTATCCCTCCCCTAACCTTTTATTTTCTAAGTAGACCTTTTCAGTGTGTATGCTTAGCATTTTGTACACAGTATCTTAGCTTATAACTTCACAGCAGATTTGATTTAACTGTGAGTCCCCAGCAAAGTAAGCCAAATGACTCGAGAAAGAACATTACTACTGACAGGCCTTATTCTCATAAATTCCAAGCGTTGCATTGTTTTAAGTAGTGGCTGTGTAATTCTGGGCTCCTTATGGCTGAGTAACCTTCCCTCTACATAAACAGGTAAGTGTTATTGATATCAATTGTTCTTTTTAAGAGTCTTCACACTGAAATAATGGTCTCTGAATGGCCCCTTGGGATAGCTCCTGCAAGCAACCAGCTTATTCACAGCATGGGAAATGAGTGGAGTTCACCTAACCTGGCATCTTAAAATATAAGACCATCAGTCCTCAGATTTTATATAAAAGGCAGATCTGTATGATTCGTGAATGTTACTATAACAAGTCACTTCCAAGAATACGGGGGTAATGGTGGCTATTTTCCAGTCTACAAATGGATCTTTGAGGAGAAGGAAGTGTTTATAATCTAGGGGTCCATGGATGGTAATGCCTTAATTAGAAGAGTATCTTCTTGCCATGACTTATGAAAATGTAAGTTGCTACCAGTGAGCATATAGAGCAGATAACAACAACTTTGTTACAGATGGTAGCATCCACTAGACCATACATAAGCTCTTCTAAAGATCCGGAGGAATCAAAAAGGATCAGTGTAAATCTAAAGGGATGATGGATTGCAGGGACACATGGCATGTCTTTCAACCAAGATGTCTACTCTCTCCACTCCTCTTTAATGTATTATTGGAATCCCAGAGCAGTAAGGCAAGAGACAAACATAAAAGGGATCCAAATAGGGAAAGAAGTAAAACTCTCCCTCTTTGCAGATGACATGATCCTGTATTTAAAGAACTCCATGGACTTCTCCCCCAAGTTACTTGAGCTGATTTAAACCTGTGGCAGAGTAGCAGGGTATAAAATTAACACACAAAAATCAATAGCTTTTCTCTATGACAACCATAAGAAGAGTGAGGCAGTGAAATGAGAAAAACAGCTCCATTTGTAATGGTATTAAAAAATAAAGTTAGCAACTGACTTACCCAAAGAGGTCAAGGACATCTATGATGAAAACTCTAAAAACCTGAAAAATGACATTAAAGCAGATTTACGGAAGTGGAAAAGCCTCCCATATTTCTGGATTGGGAGGATTAACATTGTGAAAATAGCAATACTGCCAAAAACTATCTACAAATCCCAAGCAATATCTATCAATATCCCAACAACATTCCTTAATGAAATAGAAGATTCAATCCAAAAATTTCTATGGGATAATAGAATATTCTGAATAGCAAAAACAGTCCTTAGCAGGAAGAACAGTGCTGGAGGAATATCAATACCATATAAAGCCATATATATATATATATATATATATATACACACACACACACACACACATATAAATATATAAAGCTTGGTGCTGGCCTGAGGACCAAAGGGATAAAATTGAAGATCCAAAAATGATCCCACAGCTCTGTGGCCACCTAATCTTAGATAAAGGAGACAAAATTATCAGATGGAGGAAAGACAGCCTCTTTAACAAATAGTGCTGGCAGAACTGTCTATACACATGTAGAAAACTGAAGTTAGATCTTTATATATCACCCTGCAACAGCTTCAACTCTAAAGGATCAAAGAGCTCTAGTCAAGAGCAGATACCCTGAAAATACAAGAAGAGATAGGGGATACACCACTCAAAACTTCCTAAATAAAGGTCCAGAAACACAACAAATCAAAGAAAGGCTGGATAGTTGGGATCACATTAAACTGACGAGCTCTGCATGGCAAAGGACATAGCTGGTAAGATCAATAGAAAGCCCACAGATTGAGAGAAGATCTTCACTAGCCATATAAGAGACAAGGGCCTCATATCAAATATATACCTAGAACGCATCTTGAATAATGTTACTGCTACCATCATTGCGCATCGTCCATCTTTGCCAACCCTTCCCATCCTCTCAAATAACCTACTTCTCTTTTCATATATGTACATTGAGTGTTACGATACAAACCTGCTCCCCTGTTCTGATAGGAAACACAGCTCTGAAACCACTCTGGGCTAGTTTTCTACAATACTTAAATCCTTGGCAGAAGGAGAAGGAGATAAGTCTCCAGGATCAAAGATCATTTTTTTTTTTTAGCAAAAAGATTATAACTCTTCTGCTTAATGCACAAGGGTGTTCTGGGATTTACAAACTTATCCATTTATATAAATGTGAGAGACACATTAAATCACATTTTACTGGTTTCGCCAAACCATCTCAATAAAAAAATCAAATTATTTAGAAAAACCAATTCCAATTATATGTAAAAAAAAACAATGAGTGCTTTTGGAAAATGCAAAGCACGCAGCTCTTTGGTAGATGAGAGACGCTGAGGGAGCTGTTGTCAGTGGAAGAGGGACATCCGTAGAAAGGGAGCTGAGTTAGAAAGTTGCAGGTGTACTTGATGAGAAGAGAATTTGAACAAATATGTCCTCTTACTATTCTCAATCATGTATGTTTATGAATATAAATTATAGTTTACGCAATGCTCTAGGATAATTTCTACATCTAAATGA